GAGAAAATTTATCGACCGCAACACAGTAGCGCAGTGCAGCAGGCTGACCTGAAGGAAAGGCCACAACTCGATAAATCAACAAAGGACTCTTTGTTCGACGTATAAAAGCCCATCGAGTGTAGCGACCACAATCCTGTTCGCTTGTTTCCCCCGCATCTCAAACCTTGACAAGCTATCAAGACTCACTACATGCCCGCCCTCATTACGTCTCATCCTGCAGCAACCCGCCTCAAGGAGGAAATGTCGATGATTGTCGGGAAGTCCCTGGAGGACCCCCGAGAGACCATCTGGTACCTCAGGTGGCGTGAAGGGAACGGAGTGGAGGGGCGCGTATGCATCAGCTGGGACGCCAAAGGCAGATCGACCCACCAGGAAAGCCTGGGCGTAGGCCTGGAGCGACTTACTGAGATCGACTCGAAGCTTATTCTCCTGGGCTCCCTTGACTCCGAGCAGTTGTGCCTTCTGAAGGCCATCGTCAACGATACGCCCATCCCATTCCTGCCGAGAAACCTCCCGTGGATGAGGTCGTGGAAGCGCAACGAGTGGTACTTGCAGATCCTGCGCAAGGGCGAGAAGGTGGGGCTGTTCACAGACGACGCGGTGCACAAGTGTTACATCGAGGCCTTAGCGGAGAACTGGCCGGGGAAGGAGGACACCTGTATATCGTCTGGTGTGCTTGAGCCGAGCCATCATGCCCTAGGAGGACTCACCAGGAGCATCTTTGCGACGGAAGCCGTCTGAGCACTTGAACAGGTATCCGACAGCAGAAGTTCTCGAGAGTTGTGCGAAGTTCGAAGCAGATGTTGACCTACGGAGGGAACAGACAATGAGCTAGCACTCAGTTACCTTAGCCCAGGCGATGAAATCTTCCAGTATTACACCAACAGACAGAACAGCTTGGTGATCCTCACGTTAATATTAAACCCTGAATACACATTTCAATGGCAAAAAGGGATGTACGAGCCGCATAGTCAAGCACTTCCCACCCCGTCTCCCTGTGAAAGGCGTAGACGGCTGAGAAGCGCTCCGGCTTAATTGGGCCCTTGGAAGGTTCCTCTTCCCTCGCCGGCTCGCTACCCCAGCATCGCAAAAGGATAAAACCAGAGTTGCTTCAGCACGAAGGCCGACGCTGCAGCGATGGTGGTAATCACTCCCGGAAAATCGCGAGAAATAACATTTTCAACACCCGGCAATAGCCGGTTGATGGTGGATGCGCTACAAATTAGCCGACGGTCCGGCACGCGGGGAGTGCATGACGTCTTTGGGCTTTACGGTGTGGCTTTGCACACGGAGGCGGGCTCCCGTTGTCCTTGATACGAACTCGAAAAAACGTTTCACATCTCCCACCTAAGGTTAGTTTCGAGAGTACATCGCGCCCGAGCCTACGCTCGCAGCGATCACATAAAGTCTCCCAGTTCTAGCGAGCTTGTCATGCTCACACGTCTCAGGACCCTCCTTCACCATCTCAACCGCAACCGCACCGCAGCCATGTCCACCGTACACAACCCCAACAAGGCTTGCTGCACTATCCCCCCGGTCCAGTCCAACTACAGCCCCAAAGGCACGTACAAGGCTTATGCAGGCTTCGACAAGGTGTGTCGCGACCTGATGCCAGCGATATGCCACTCCTGATTTGGTCTGATTAGGTCTACGTCGCCGGCCCTGCAAACCCTGGAAAGCTCGCCGTGATCTGCGTCTTTGACATCTTTGGGTGCGCTCTCACCACTCGCATTTCAGCAATGGCATGCTGACTGCCCTCGGTGCACAAGCTTCAAGCCGCAGACCCAGCAGGGTGCGGACATCCTTGCCGAAGAGCTGGGGGCTCAAGTATACATGCCCGACTTCTTCGAGGGTGACGAGCCCTGGACTCTGGATAAGTTCCCGCCGACTAAGCCGGAGGACCAGCAGAAGTTCCAGGAATGGTTCGCCGGCTTCGCGAACCCCGCCAACCATGTCCCGCGCGTCATCAAGGTTGCTGAGGCCTTGAAGAGCGAGGGTGTCCAGTTCATCGTTACCTACGGCTTCTGCTGGGGTGGCAAAGTTGCGCTCAGCGCCGCGACACAGCCCGGAGGCTTGATCGGAGCGGTCT